GACTGCGTCGTGTGTCACGGCTGCGCATTCAGGCCTGACTGCGTCGTGTGTCACGGCTGTGCATTCAGGCCTGACTGCGTCGTGTGTCACGGCTGTGCATTCAGGCCTGACTGCGTCGTGTGTCACGGCTGTGCATTCAGGCCTGACTGTGTCAGGCCTGACTGGCGTGAGGCTGGGACACCGGCCGGGGCCACTCCTTCTGTTTTCGCATGTGGATGTCCACTTCGGTAAAATGACTGGTCTCTATCTGTTGAATCGCTTTATAGCTTATTTAGAATCCAGTGACCACGCCCCACGGCAGCAGCAGAAGGGAACTTCCACCCTGGTAAAGAGCCTGCCAAGCCCCATGCCTCAGGTCAGCATGGATGGGAGCATCTCCCTGGGGTCGGGCCAGATGCAGGCGCTCCTGCCGTCCTGGTCAACGCGTCCTGCAGGTGCCCGTGGACGCCAGGCAAGAGGCGCCGGCAAGAGGCGTCCAGCTCGGCAGGAGGAAGCGAGACTGCTGGCAGCTGGCGTGGCCTGGCACGCTGGCGATCTCGAGGGGCTCGCAGAAGCCCACGAGGGCAGCCGGCGACCGGCGGGGCAGCGGGGCCGGCCCTTGGCCTGTGCACTGACCGCGGGCCGGCCAGTCAGGAGAGTACGGGCCACGCAGGAGACCCCTAGCCCAGGACACTCTGGAGGCCGAATACGCAGACAGCTGTCCCTGGCAGGACCCCAGGCGCTCCGTGGTGACCGTCGGCCAAAGCTCCGGACCGCGTGGCCAGTGCCTTCCCAGTGCGAGCCAAGCTGGAAGGTTTCGCAACTCGCAAGGCTGCAGTGGTCACAAGAAAACGGTGCTGGCTGGAGAGTGGACATCGGCCAGTGGGACAGCTTGAGACTAGATCAACCCACACGTCTGTGGTCACTGAACAGGGTGCAGCCAGTGCTGTGGGGACAGAACACTAGCAGGGGCCAGGACGCTGCAGCTGCGAAGGCCAAGGGGCCCCGCTGCCCTGTGCACAGCCCGGCCTGCACGCAGTGCAGCAGGCCCCAGCATGGGGCTGCGCTCCCTAGGCCCCCGGACCCCCCGGCACCCCGGACTCTGGGTGGCCCAGCTTTGCCAGTAGGTCTGGCCATCCCATGGCGAGACAGCCAGTAGCCAAGGCAGGCCCGACCCAGGTGCGGGGCAGCCGGCTGGAGACCTGGCCTGGGTGGTGCCGCCCAGAGCAAGGGCTGCCAGCTGGGCCCGCGTGCTCGGTGGGCAGTGAGGCCTGGGGCTGCAGGGGGCCTTCTTCAGGGACAGTCTGGGTGCGGGAGGGGTCCTTTTTGGGCTGGAAGCTTGGTCCTCTTCCCAGGGCTGGGGGACACGCCAGTGAGGGGCAGGTGGTCAGAGAAGCGGGCTGGACCACCCCGCTGCCCCTGCGGCTCCCCTTGCGGCGTCATTTGGAGGCTCTGCAGTCCGGCCGGACTGGGGTGCCCTCCTCGGGCTGTGGGCCGAGCTGGGGAGGGCACCCCAGGGGCCAGGCAGGCCCTGGAGGCAGAGGCCCAGAGACCGGGGCCTGGTGGGCAGGTGCTGGCTGTGACGTGGACGCAGGGACTGGGGCTGTGCCAGGTGGGTGTCCCCAGCCCCTTCCCCACCCAGCCCTGGGGGCTTGGCTCGTGTCCTTTCCCATGCTGGTTCTTGTTTCTGTCACAGGAGCCATGGCTGGCAGCTGCTGTTGGGGGTTCAGTTTGGGCTACAGGTGGGGTCTCAGGGAGCAGGGGCCTGGGGTGGAGAGAAGCAGTGCCTGCAAGGCCAGGCCTGGCCCTGGGTGGCCACGGGGCAGGCCAAGAGGCTCGGGCCTGTGGAGTTGCGCCCTTTTGGTCCATCCTGGTCCCACGGCCACCGCGGGGAGCAGTGGCGCGCCTCCGCCACCTGCTGGGGGTCCCTGTGCACG